TCGCCATCATCATCATCATCCTCCTCATCCTCATCATCCTCATCACCACCACCACCACTTTCATCATCATCATCATCATCATCATCACCACCATCATCATCATCATCACCATCATCATCATCATCACCATCATCATCAGTTTCATCATTATCATCATCATCGTCATCAGCATCACCATCATCATCCGCATCATCAGCATCATCATCAGCATCACCATCATCCGTACCATCATCATCGCCATACTCATCATCATCATCATCAGCATCACCATCATGATCATCAGCATCGCCACCAGAATCGCCAACATCATCATCATCATCATCATCATCATCATCGTCATCATCATCATCATCATCATCACCACCATCATCGTTACCACCGTCGTCGGCATTAGCATCGTCATCACCATCCCCGCCATGGCCCTCATCCTCGACCTCCTCCTACTCCTCCTTCTCCTCATCCTCCTCCTCCTCCTCATCCTCCTCCTCATCTCCTCATCCTCCCCACCCCCCACTCCTCAGCATCATCATCTCCGCCTCCTCATCCTCCTCCTGCTCCTCCTCCTGACCTCCTCCTCCTCCTCCTCCTCCTCCTTCTCCGCATGCTCCTCCGCGTCCTACTCCTCGTGCCCCGTCTCCTCCTCCGCCTCCTCCTCCGGCTCCTCCTCCACTTGCTCCCCCCCCCATCCTCATCCTTCCCCTCCTCCATTATATTCATCAGCATTATCATCAGCAGCATCACCATCAGCAACATCACCATCAGCAGCAGACTCACCAGTATCGCCATCCTCCTCCTCCTCCTCCTCCTCATCATCATCATCATCAACACCATCATCAGCATCAGCATCGTCATCATCATCATCATCATCATCATCATCATCACCATCACCATCATCATCTGCCTCACCATACTCGTCCTACTCCGCATTATCATCGTCATCATCATCATTAGCATCAGCAACACCATCACCGTCAGTATCATCAGCATCAGCATCAGCATCATCATCATCACCAGCATCAGCACCATCGGCATCAGCAGTATCATCAGCAGCATCGGCATCATCATCAACATCATCATCAGTACCAGCATCAGCATCACCATCACGATCATGTGCACCATACTCATCAGCACCAGCATCATCACCACCACCATCAGCATCATCACCACCATCATCGCAATGACCATCATCAGCATCAGCATCACCGTCATCATCACCATCATCGTCCTCCTCATGACCACCACCTCATCATCATCAGCAACATCATCGCCACCGCCACCATCATCATCGTCATCAGCATCATCAGCATCATCATCGTCACCAGCATCATCAGCATCAAGCTCAGCATCATCATCATCATCATCATCGTCGTCATCATCATCATCATCATCATCCTCATCCTCATCCTCATCCTCATCAACATCATCATCGTCTTCATCATCATCATAATCATCTTCCTCCTCCTCCTCCTCCTCCTCCTCCTCATCCTTCTCTCGTCCTCCTCCGCCTCGTCTGCCGCCTCCTCCTCCTCCTCCTCCTCCTCCTCATCCTCGACCTCCTACTCCTCTCCTCCCCCTCCTCATCCTTCTCCTCCTACTCCTCCTTTTCCTCCTCCGCCGCCGCGTCCTCCGCCTCCGCCTCTTCCACCTCCTCCTCCCCCTCTTCATCGTCATCATCACCATCATCATCAGCATCATCAGCATCATCACCAGCATCATCATCGCCATCACCAGCAGCATCCTAATCCTCATCCTCATTCTCATCCACTCCTCCTTCTCCCCCCCTCGTCCTCCTAATCATCATCATCACCATCATCATCATGATCATCAGCATCACCATCACCATCATCGTCATCATCACCACCACCATCAGCAACATCCTCATCACCTTCATCACAACCATCGTAGCATTCATCATTCGCATCATACGCATCAGCATCATCATCAGCATCATCATCATCACCAGCATAATCATCATCATCATCAGCATCATCATCATCATCATCATCATCATCATCATCATCAGCAACACCAACATCAGCAACACCAACATCAGCATAAGCATCAGCATCAGCATCAGCATCAGCATCAGCATCAGCATCATCATCATCATCATCATCATCATCATCATCATCATCATCAACATCTCCTCCTCGTCCTCTTCCTCCTTCCGCTCCTCTCCTGCCTCCTCCTCCTTCTCCTCCTCCTATTCCTCCTCCTCCTCCTCCTCCTCCTCCTCCGACTCCGCCTCCGCCGCATTCTCCTCCTCCTCCACCTCCTCCTCCTCCTCCTTCTTCTCCTCCGCCTCCTCCTCCTCCTGCTCCTACTACTCCTCCTCCTTCTCCTCCGCCTCCTCCTCCTCCTCGTCCTCCTCCACCTCATCTCCTCAGCTCCTCCCCCCCCTCCTCCTCCTCCTCCTCTTCCTCCTCCTCCTCCTCCTCCTCTTCCTCCTCCTCCTCCTCCTCCTCCTCCTCCTCCCCCTTTTCTCCTCCTCCTCCTTTTC